ATTATTGACCAGTCCATTCAACTACTTCTAATCGGTTCATTGGAAACCAATCCGTTTAAAGGAATCAAACCGTTTAGTTGACCGATTCTCGATTCAAGAACAAGTTTGGCCGAGCTTTCAAACTAATAGTAGTTGGTATAACTTTTATTTTTATTTTCATTTATAAAATTTATTAATCTCTAGAATTCTATATTTCTAATAAAATTAAATAATTATTATTTTTTAAATATATTTATTATCTCATAAAAATTAATTTTAAATATAGAAAACATTGTATAGTAATTTTTTTTTTTTCTTTGGTCTCAAAACTAAATTTTTACTATCAAATATTGTTAGATACTCACGGAATAAAAATTGCTACAAAAATTAGTAATAAAACTAGTTTTTCAATATTTGGGACTAAGTTTGCAACAAAACCAATCTTATAGGATTATATTTGCAATTTTCTCCCTTATCAAACTAATGACAAACGGCGACTTAACGGTCAGTTAGATTTGGGACCAATTGCGCAACAAAAATTCGTTAAGGACTGAAATTGCGCCTCTTGGGACTAAAATTGCGACAGTCCCAATCTAACGGGACCAAATTTGCAATTTCCTCCAAATTGAGTTAATGGGTTCAATTAGCTTTTCAAGCTGGGTTTGTTGAAGTAAACTAGCGAACGAGCTCAAGCGTTCATGAACTTAAACGAGTTGTGTTCACGAACTTGGCTGAATGACTCTAGGCACTTACATTCTTAGTTATTTTTCTTTTCACCCCAATAAATATTTGAAATGAACAAAATATACTTTTCGACATGCAATGCAGAAAAATAAACTATTCACATGGAAATTAGTTTATCTTAATAACAATAATTTGTATCTCATTAATATAAATTCTTACACAAGTTTTGTAGGTAAGTGAAGTATCATCAAAGTTATTGTACCATGTGCATTAAATAATAATTCATCTGTAAGAGTAGAATAAAGTTAAATTGGAATTAGAGCGAATGTAAAATCAGTAGCATATGATATAATAAGTACCTTTTATGTATTTACTTTTTAAATTCTAGGTGTCCCTGCTTATGTATGAGTGTATATATAAATGTGCATCCATTAACTTTCAAGTAAGTAATGATAATGAAATGAATTTGAATTCCACATTTTTTTCTCTCCCCCTTTAAAATGTCACTTCTATTAAATTTCTATATTCGTTAAGATGTATAAATGCTTTTAAAATAAAATAATTCTATGTTATTCCACTCAACCCATAGGAATGAAACTAATACCACGTTACTATATAAAATTTATATTTAAAAGTCAATTTGAAATTATTGTGAAATCCTGCTTGACACAGTTATTGCACATTTAGATTCATTAATTATCATTTAGATGTATTAGTGCATACTTCCAAGGACAAGAATGTTACATTACATTTTTTCTCTTGTTTAAATTGTTTAAATTTTTTATTAATCAACCAATTACAAGCTAATTAACATTTTATTGTCCATTGGTGCCAATGATGTGTCAGTGCTCACTTTGTGCATTTATGACTGGTTTACATTCTCATATTAGAAGGTGGTTCCCATTTTAATCAATTCCTATGTAAATGTATCCCATGAATTAGTTTAAAAATAATAAATGAACTGAATATATACTCAATATCTAAAAAATGGTTGACAAATTAAGGGTGATCAACATTGTAATATCATTAACTAATGAAAACATTAGTGACATGGATGATGTGTATATATATTATTTCAGAGAAAACAACGATACAGATATCGTGTCTAAAAGTTCCATTTTTTGTACAAGTCGACCCTAAATATCGTTGATAATGATTCAATGATAATATCGTGCATGTTAATCTATGGTTTGTTGTCTTGTATGTATCTTATGATCTTGTATATTTTTGTTGGTTTAAGTATTTTATCATCAATGTCTTCAGCTGCGCTTGATTCCCAAAGCCACAACATGCCAGCACGTGTAGCTCGATGTGCAGGTGCAGCTGGTGGGTCCCAACCACCACACGAGGATCCATCCAAACTTCCCTTGCAATGCGAGTCGGGTAAAATATGGTTAAAATGTATTTCATTCACTATGGCATCTCCTGACCATATACTTATTTTGTTTCAAAATTGGGCATGTGCAGCACAGCCAGGTGCTGGCAGAAAACGCAAAGGGCGAGGACCCGCCAGAGGAATTGAGATCCTCCGTCGGCTGGTGCATGGTAGGATCCATGTTGATTTCGACGAGGAGGGTGGGACTTGGAAAGCCTTAGGCGATGATGGGCCACTGTACGACAGTGCAGTTGGGATTTTGACCCGCTACTACTGCAAGCCCATTTATGATAGCTGGGCTGAGGTGCCAATCGAGCAGCGTGTGCAGGTCCTGGAGAGGTTGCTGGTAAGGTCTCTTCCTCTCTGCCTCCAACTGTGACTACATATTATTATTTTTATTGATTGGTTATTTGTTGTTAATTGTTATGATCATTAATGGTTACTTAACTAACAAGAAGAATAATCTTTTTTGTTTATGATTGGTAGTTGGTTAGTTGAAGTTATGCGACTAGGGTAAACGCTGAATTTTATTAAGAAAATGAGTGTTGATGCTTAGTGATTGATTTTTTTTTTTTGATAAAATTAAGTCAAAAAATTGGTGCGGGAATAATGCATGTGCGTGAATTGCTTTTGCCTACGAACTCTTCGTTATGAGATGGTATCCATTTGCGTGTTTACCGATTTTTACAATTTATGTCTTTTTCTTTTTGTGGGTTGTCAGGATTGGTTTGATATTGATTATCACTATCAGCAAGGGGTATACAGTGATATGGTGCAGCGTGATGCAATGAAATGCTATCGAGATTGGAAAAGTGATTTGCACGATCACTTCAAAAAAGTAGGTGGCGTGGCGGATCCAGGTGCCGCCAAACAAAAAGTACCCAAAAACATTCGAGACCGTCTGCACTGGGAGCTTTGCTGTGAAAGATTTTCATCTGAAAAATTCAAGGTAATTTCATGGCCTTTTTTAATAAATTAGATATCTATTTATGGTATTATGTCATTTGTTTTCAAGAATGATTTTTCCGTTGGGAAATAATAAAAAATATTTAGAGCATAGTCCTTTCGGTGCGACTTTAGTGCAAATTTCGGAGGAGGGCTGTTGAAATTGAATTAGAATTTTAGTGCACAGGCTGCACCAAAATAGTCACTCTGTTTGGTGATGGTTTTGCTCTTACCTTCAGATTTTTTTTTTTTT